ACTTCTTTGGGACTCTCTGAGCTTCCTGGATTTCCTGGAAGTCTATTTCCTTTGCCAGAATGGGGAAGTTCTCCTTTATTATTCAAATAAGTTTTCCACTCGTGGCTGTTCCTCTTTCCCTTCTGGTACCCCTATAATTTGGATGTTGGAGCATTTAAAGATGTCCTAGAGGTTCCTAAGCCTCTCCTCATTTTTTTGAATTCTAGTTTCTTTATATTTTTCTGTTCGGTCATTTTTTCCTCTTTCTGGTCCACTCCTTTGATTTGAGTCCCAGTATCCTTTCCATTACTATTGGTTTCCTGTGCATTTCCATTCATTTCAATTAGTTTAGCCTTCATATGTTCCTCTAATTTGTGACTAAAATCAACCAGTTCTGTGAGCATCCTGATTACCAGTGTTTTGAACTGTGCATCTGAAAGTTTTGCTATTTCTTCATCTCTTAGATTTATTGGCTCTGGGGCTCTGAGTTGTTCTTGAGCCATGTTTTGATCTGTTCGTGCCTGTTAGGTACAAGGAGGTGTTCACCAGGGCAGGGCTACCCAGGTCGCTGGTTTATGATGCCGGATGTGGGGTCAGTGTCAGAGAGGGACAATGGCAGTCCTCTCTGCCACTTCTCTCCACTGGGGCCTGCACGGTCTGTCACCGCTCGCTCCTTCACTGGTTTATCTGTGCTTCAATGTGTGACTGCAGTCAGCCCTCAGTGAGTCCACCACCTTGCGCCCTCAGTGGGTTTGCCCGCTACTCCACACCTGGGATCCGTCCACGGCTGCTGGTGTGCCTGGGTTGCGCACCCATGTCTGTCCGGTGGATCTTTTTTGCCCGACCCCTCTCTGCTGCTGGCTCTGCCCCTCTTACCGGTTTGGCTGGAGGGTTTGTTGTTATCAGACTTCCGTATAGTTCAATTTTCTGTGGTTTGGCTGCATTTTTGTTGCTAAAACTTTGTTGTTTTTAAAATTGGTTGTGTGAGAAAGCTCAGTGCTTCTACCTACACCTCCATCTTGGGGGAAGTCCCCTCATCAAAACAATTTCAGTCCTGGCTCAGTTTCTCCCCTACCTCACATCCGCTACCATCTGGGTATTTTCATCTAGGTTAATGTCACCTGATCGTCGAAGCGTTGACCACAGCCTGGACCCATTCCACCGGCCTGTGCACAGCCATGTCCTCCCCTCTGCTGGGGGGCTGCGGAGGGATGGGGCAGCGGCGCCCTGACCAGGGAAGAGGGTGGGGAGTGGGGGCTGAGGTGAGGGAAGAGTCCAGGAGAGGGTCTGAGGATTGCAGGCTCCGAACGTTCCCACGGGGGAAAATCCATTTTTTTATAAAAAAAGAAACTTAAGTCATAGCATCATTACAGAATGCATTTTAACTCTAAATTTCTATTATTTTAGTGTCAATTTGTGAACATTGGTGATTGATCTGGTTTGCACAGATTTTGATGTTTTTATTTTGTTTTGCAGTAGTTTCTCTTATTTTAATAGTCTAAACAGCTTAATTTGACTTGCACTGCCCTATAAAATTTACTTCCTTACAGCCTTTCTAGCTTTTTATCTTATACCTACTTCCATCACCTCCAGGATTAGATTTTTTAAATGAATTAATTAGGATTCTGATTTTACTGCTATTGTTTAAAATATTACATACTTTATGAAGAAATAATAGTATATTGAGTTGCATTTGAGTTTTACATTTCTTAGGGAGCTCCATGCTAAGTTAAAACTTTGTATTTTGCTACTGATCTCTGAGTTTATTAACATTAAAATATAAGAACTTTGATGAATTTGCTAATTATTTTTAAGCCATCGGTGACATTTATTTCATATAAATACCCTCAGAAAGAAATGGACATTTATATAATTTTTGTATTTGTGTTAGAAATAGCTTTAGGAAAGTTGATTTGACTATGGCATGGCAAATTTAGTTAAAGAGAAAACTTTGAAATCTGTTTCCCTATTCTTCACAGTGACTTACTTTCAAATATAAAAGTTCAGATTTTAAAGGAATTGTTTAAATTGTGGAAGTATATGACTAAAGTAGTTATACAATAATAAAAGTAAGTTTGCAGATGTTAAGATGTTTCCTGTAAATGCAAAAAATAATTACTTTTCAAGACATTTCCCAAATTGATGGAAAGAAAAATGAAGGTACCTTGTATGGGACAAGAAACTGCAGTTATTATGGGGAAAATCCTAGCTGTGGGGAAAAATCCTAGATGTGAACTAAATTATGACACAGTGACTTTAATTAGTTCAATAGTATAAATGCTATAGGTGGTTACTAGAGATTTAAGACACCAAACCCTCAACATTGACATCCAATACCTTTTCGTTGGGAATGTGACTATTGTGAGGGTTCTTTAAATTTATATAGGAAAGTGACTGGGAATATCATGGTCTATAGTGGGACAATCTCACATACAGCAAATAAAATTTATGGTTATATAAGTAAATTTTTTATAACATAATATATATATCATTTAGGTTTTACCTCTATTAATTCAAATGATGTGTGACTAATTATATTAACCAATGATCCTAGAAAGCCCTAACCAGTAGGAATATTCATTCTAGAAAGCTAAAGTCAATAGGAGTTAAGCACAGAAGCTTTTAGTCATCCAGTAAATACTGTAGATATTTTCTTTTTTTTTTTTTAAGAGTTCTTTATTTATCTTTAGAGGGGAAGGGGAGGAGAGAGGGAGAGAAATATCAATGTATGGTTGCCTCTAGTGCATCCCCTGCAGGGAACTGACCTGCAGGGAACCTGCCTGCAACCCAGGCATGTGCCCTGACTGGGAATCAAACCGCGATCCTCTGGTTCACAGGTCCATGATCAATCCAGTGAGCTACACCAGCCAGGGCTTAGATATTTTCTTTTTTTTAATCTTTTTTTTTTAATTTTTTTATTGATTATGCTGTTACATTTGTTCTATTCCCCCCTTCATTCCCCTCCAGCCTACCCCCCCATCCCCACCATTACCCCCCCTTTAGTTTATGACCATGTGTCTCAAGTCCTTTAGATTCTATATTTCCCATGCTATTCTTGCCCCCCCATCTATTTTCTATCTACTGTCTATGCTACTTATTTTCTGTACCTTCTCCCCCTTTCTCCTCCTCCCACTCCCCTGTTGCTAACCCTCCTTGAGATCTTCATTTCTATGTTTCCACTCCTGGTCTAGCTGTCCTTTTAGTTTGCTTTTGTTTTATGTGTGGTTGTTAATAACTGTGAGTTTGTTGTCTTTTCACTGTTCATGTTTCTTTAACTTCTTTTTCTTCCATAAGTCCCTTTAACATTTCATATAATAAGGGCTTGGTGATGATGAACTCCTTGAATTTGATCTTATCTGAGAAGCACCTTATCTGTCCTTCCATTCTAAATGAAAGTTTTGCTGGATAAAGCAATCTTGGTTGTAGGTCTTTGGATTTCATGACTTGGAATACTTCTTTCCAGCCCCTTCTTGCCTGTAAGGTCTCTTTTGAGAAATCAGCTGACAGTCTGATGGGGACTCCTTTGTAGTTGACTGTCCCCTTCTCTCTCGCTGCTTCTAGGATTCTCTCCTTCATTTTAATTTTGGCTAATGTAATGATGATGTGCCTTGGTGTGTTCCTTCTTGGGTCCAACTTCTTTGGGACTCTCTGAGCTTCCTGGATTTCCTGGAAGTCTATTTCCCTTTGCCAGATTGGGGAAATTCTCCTTTATTATTTGTTCAAATAAGTTTTCCACTGGCGGCTGTGCCTTTCCCCCTTCTGGTACCCCTATAATTCGGATGTTGGAGCGTTTAAAGATGTCCTGGAGGTTCCTAAGACTCTCCTCATTTCTTTGAATTCTTGCTTCTTGACTCTTTTCTGTTTGGCCATTATTTGCTTTCTTCTGGTCCACTCCATTGATTAGAGTCCCAGTTTCCTTTTCATTGCTATTGGTGTCCTGTGCAATTCCATTCATTTCAATGAGTTTCGCCTTCATATATTTGTCTAATTTGTGGCTATAATCAACCAGTTCTGTGAGGATCCTGATGACCAGTGTTTTAAACTGTGCGTCTGAGAGTTTTGCTATTTCTTCATCGCTTAGATCTATGGGCTCTGGGGCTTTGAGAACTTGCGACATTTTTGGTCTGTTCTGGTCCTTTAAGTGTGAGAAGCGGTGCCTTGGACTCCCAGGTCGCTGGGTTGTGATGCTATATGTGGGGGTGTGGTCAGAGCGGGGGAAATGGCAACCCCCTCTGCTGTTTTTCACAGCTGGGTGAGGATCAGCCTCTTAGGTGGTTCACCTGGGCCAGGCCACTCAGAGTCGCTGGGTTATGACGCTGTATGTGGAGGTGGGGTCAGAGCAGGGAAATGGCGGCGCCCTCCACTGCCGCTTGCTGCGGGGACCCGCCCTGCCCCGATCCAACTGCCCACTCCCTTGCCTATCCGCCCGCGCACAAATGCGCGACCACAGTCAACACGCAGCACCGCTCCCCCGCTGTCTCCCCCGCAGTCGCTCGCCTGGTGGCTCGCTCAGTCGCTCACTAGGTCCAATCCTGCTCTGCCTGGATTCCGCGCAACTGGATTCCGCGCCTGAGTCCGTCTGACCGAGTCCTCCTGTGCAACCCCGCTTCACCAGCTGCTGGTTTCGCCCCTTACCAGTCAGGCTGAAGAATTTGTTGTTAATGGACTTCCAAAAAGTTCAATTTTCCGTGTTCTGGCTCTGTTTTCTGTTGCTAATATTTAGTTGTCTCTAAACTTGGTTGTGTGAGAAGGCACGGCACATCCACCTATGCCTCCATCTTGGCAGAAGTCCTCAGATATTTTCTTTACAGCATGATCCTTAGGGCTTATTTTCTAGTTTAAACAATAGAACATACCAAAGCTGTGAAATTTGGGTGGGTGGAACATAGTAAATGAGTTATACATTAATTAATATGTTTATAAAAATAGGTGTCCAAGTTGTTTCTTTACTTTATACAGGTACAGGTACTTATATACATCCATTAATGCTATCTCACTTTTTGTTTGCATTTTTGTTTTAGCATCTGAAAGTTTCTGTTCCTGATGAAATATCAGTAGATCTAGGTAAGTTCAGAGTACCAATATCCTGGAGAAATACATCTTTATAGTTATTTACCTCAGCTCATCTCTAAAGGTTTTGTGTCATGTGGTCACCTGCATTTAAGGATAAATGAAATCTGAATTCTGAGATGAAATACATGAATTGTAGAATTTCTCTTCGTATTACTCCAAGATAAGTTTACATCTGATGGCATTGTTATGTTGCCAGTTATAATACCTTTAAATCAAGTAATGCTTTCCCTTTTCTTTTGCAGAGAAAAGACGACCTGAACTTATTCCTGAGGATCTTCATCGCTACTATATTCAAACTATGCAAGAAAGAGTCCACCCAGAAATTCAGAGGCATTTAGAAGATTTTCGGTAAGGTTGGTGATAGATATAAGCTGATATGATTATTCTGATTTTTCTTTTTCTTTTTTTTTAGGTAGGAAAGGTTATGCATTAAATCCTTGGCTGAACAGATGGTCTTTATCACTGTTATTAAAACATAATGAACATCTGGAATCAAAGTGTTGGAGTGGTAGAGAGTTTCTACTTCCCATTCCATATGATTTCAGCATTTGAGTTCAGTATTCAGTGTGTTTCTTCAGGATATGTTTTGCTGTTAAGTGATTGCCTCTAGACTTTTTTTCTTCTAGTGACCTGGGTGACACAGTGTTCTAAAATAAAAACTTGTGACATTTTCCAGTTACTGGAAAGTCATTGCTATGGAAACTTTGCCAAGGGAGATAGTTTTTCTTTAGACTCCTTCAGGAAATTCTTCCTATTCTTTTTAGGCAGAAACGGAGCATGGGGCTGACCTTGGCTGAAAGCGAATTGGCTAAACTTGATGTAGAGCAAGACAAGGACCGGGTAACTTTGGAGAAGGAACGGGCATGTGCAGAACAGGTTGTTGCCAAAATTGAAGAAGTGTTGTAAGTAATACAAGTATATATAGAAATGCCCTCTCTTCTGAGATGCTTATTATGCTGAAAGTTTACTCTGAACAAACTTAGAAGTGGTGTCAGATTAGGTATGTGGAGCTATTTATTTTGTCATATTTGAGAAACTGGAATTTTTTATTATTGCTGATATTTTATTTTAAATAAAGTTCTTGAGTTTCTTTTTCTGGATATTAACAAAATGAGCAACTACAAAATTTCTAACTGACCAAAAACAGAATACTTTCATTGATTTCAATTTATAAGGTTTGGAAATAGTTCTTGCTATAAAACATTTATAGTTGATAATATTAGAGTGAAAAACGTACTTCCTTGTTTTTTTCCTACTATATTTCAAGTGACAGAAATTTAGTGTGGCTCCGAAAGCATTCAGCTATGTTCAGTTCTTTCAAGTATCTCAATTTAATACAACTCTTATTGCATCTTAATATTTCATTTTTAAACATTTTTAGGATGACTGCTCAGGCTATAGAAGAAGATAAAAGGTAATGTAACTTTTTTCCTAGAATTCTAAGAAAAAGGAAAAAATACCTTTTGTCAGTTCTAAATTATATATTTTTTCTTTTAACTTAAAAAGTATGAACTGTCTCCCTCTGGTGGCTTATATTTTATTTGACTAATATTTTAGTGTCTTGAGTGAATTCTCAGAATTCCATCATTGAGGTTTTGAAGTCATTTGTAATCTTTATTTGACCACCTTCCTTTCTCAGAAGTCTTATTTTACCTAATCCGTTCTCCTCTAGTTCAACAATGCAGTATGTTATTTTCATGTACATGAAGCATTTGGGAGTAAAAGTGAAAGAACCTCGAAATTTGGAGCATAAACGGGGTCGGATTGGATTCCTTCCAAAAATCAAAGTAAGACTATAAAAATAACTACGTTTAGTTTTCTGTGCCTTTTTACATTTGGTTCAGTGCTTTCCCTCTACTTGGTATTTACTCTCTCAGCAAATTAGCGGCAGGCATGCTGATAGGTATGAGATATGGCCACTGTTGTCAAGAAACTCAAAATCTACTGAGAAATCCAGACATACGAACTAATTACTAGACAATATGAAAACTGAAAATAGCAATTTACACAGAGTACTGTCCCCAAGTCTGTTATGGCCTTTTCTTTTGTGGGACCTGTCCAGTTTATAATTATCTGTGTTTCCATTTAATTTCTTTTGGATTGTAAAGCTTTATGAGGGCAGGCAACACCTTCATCACTGTATCCCCAGTGTTTAGCATTGTGCCTTCACATTTTATGAGCTTGGTAAATATTTGTTCAATGGGTAAATGAATCATTTAGAACAAGTTCCTAGCAAATGTATTATGTAACTACCTTTTTATTTTCCAGAATTATCAGGTCTAAAGAATTTAAAAAATATCTTAAGTTTTTTTAATTGAATTTATTGAGGTGACATTGGTTAATAAAATCACACAGGTTTTAGGTATACAGTTCTGTAAAATATTCTATGTATTGTGTTGTGTGTTCACCACTCCAAGTTGTCTCCTTTGATCTCCATGTAGCCACACTACACCCTCTTCTGCCTCCCCTCAGATATCTAAGTGTGATGTATATACAGTAGTGTGTGCTAGTAGTGTGTGCAAGGAGAATTGTGGGTGTCTTTCATTTACATTTAACTAATTTCTGTACTTGAAAGCAACAATATAAATCTATTCTGTTATGTATCTCTTATCTCTTTGATTTACCTGGACTCTAGCAAACTATGAAGAAAGATAGGGAAGGTGAAGAGAAAGGGAAGCGAAGAGGATTCTCCAGCATCCTGGGACCCCCAAGGAGGCCAAGCCGTCATGACAACAGTGCAAGTATGTTGAAGTTTGAAATGCTGTATTCCTACCATTCCATGCCTCCTTTTATCAGAGGCTCATTTAGCCAGAATGAATTGTTGGAAATACATATTCTTGTCATGATTCCACTGAACTTCCAATGTACCTTGCTTCCATTCAGTGTTACACTTGAACTAAATTTCTCCATGTGGCAATATAATTGTTATAAACATCTTCTTTAATGGCAATAGAGCATTCCATCAGTTATTCATGATACAACTTATTTACCTGTTCTAATTTTGTTTGTATTCAAGTTCTGATTGTTAATTAAAATATATATATATATGCCTGGATCTCCACCATACTTAGTTTAATCTCTTTATACACATATTATTCTTTCCTTAATTCCATAATTTTTCATTTTTCAATTGTGCTTTATTTTCTTATCTCCCTCTACCCTCTGGCTTAATGGAGAGAGATCAGCCCACTAGAGAAGGCTGAAGGAGTAATAGGAATAGTGGTACTATGGGGAGGAAACTAGTTTAGGTAGTGGTCCATAACTTAGGCAGTACCATGTTTGAATATGGTGACATGGTTGGAGTGGAGATGGTATTGCTATGTAGTGATACTAAATGTCCTTCACAATAAGGAATTCTCACTCAAATGCCATTAGTACCTTTGTTGGGAAACCTTGAGAAGATGGAGCATTTCACATATGCTGACCAAGAGTTCCAAGGGATACAGAAGAAAAGAATTTTTAGAATTGAGGAAAGAAGAATTTTAGGATTAATGATATATAAAGCTATGTGAGGATGTGCAGTGGTGTGGAGGCTGGATGACCTAAAAAGGCTTTAGCTTCTTCTGGTGACTGATGTGCAGAGGGGTAATAAGCAGGATAAGGATTAGTATGGATGGCCTCAGATGCATTTTGTGATGATGAAGTTGTGAGTGTTAGGGAGAAATGAGGAGCTTCTAAGAGTTCACAGAGCCAAAAGGCTTCATCACATTTACAAATGAGCACAGTTCCATACTTATCTATCTTCCCCCTCCTACAATAGCTCTCTTCATCTTTTCTCATGACTCATCTTTTTTACCTCCTATCTCTCGTCTACCACCATCTCTCTCCCTCTTCTTTTCATCCACCTTTTATGTCCTTCTTCCTTCTTCTGCCTTTCTGTGCCTTTTGCTCTCATTTTTCTTTCTTTCTTTCCTTTCTTTCTCACCATGTATAACAACTAACCCTTATTTTTCTAGGGCCTACCTGGTTTTAGACATTTTTCCAGATCTTTTAGGTCATCTTTTTTTAACTGTTTTGAAACACAAATTTTTGACCTTTTCTTTCTGTTCAGTTGGCAGAGCCATGGAACTACAGAAGCAGCGTCACCCTAAGCATTTATCCATACCCTCATCTGTGAGTCCTGAGCTTCAGGACTCTGCTAAGTTTCGCCAGAGTGGGTTAGCAAGTGAAGGATCAGACACTGGATACCTGCCAGCCAATTCCATGTCTTCTATGGCTTCAGTGGCCACTCTTTTCCAGGAAGGAGGGAAAGAGAATGATACGGGTGAGCTGTAGTTCAACTTAACTAAGTATTGAGATTTTAAAACAATAAAACAACTAAGAAATAGAGTGGCAGATTATTTTAATCAATACTGAATCCCAGTTCAATTTAGTTTTAATATTTTACAACTAGTAAAAAACCTAGGTGAATGATAATTTTTAAGTTCTCATCCATTCAAAAAGTACTTATTAAGCTTCATAACTGATGTTGGCATACAATAATTATACATAGATTCTTGCCCTACAAGAAATCTCAGCTTAGTCTCATGGGGAGATGGTCATACACACACAAACACACACAAATTCAAATTGTGCTAAATACAGTAGAGGAAAGGTAAAGTAAGTATTGAGGGGACTGGTCAGTGGTTAGGGCCAGATGTGAGGGATCTAAAGAAGACTTTAAAAATGAGAAATATTGGAAACGTGTTTTAAATGCTAAGGGGAAACCAGTTGTAAGAATGAAGTTGAACATGTAAGAAATAAACTACGTAACCAATAGAACAAATTTTTGAAAAAGAAAGAGATGAGATACAGAGTATATGTGAAAGATAAGGTGAGGGTTAAGAGGGAGGCTTTGGTGAAAAGAACAAAGGGATTTACAGATGTGAAGTAATTGTAGATAATTAGGAAAAGAACTTATTAGCATATTTCTTTATATTTGTTATAATGAATTTCATAACCCATTATAAGCAAGTGAGCTGGAAAATAGGTAGTTTTATTTGGAAAAGGGAATGCCTGTCTTTATTAGTGATTTGGGAGGCAGTTCAGTTTCTGGTGATATCAAGATAAAGCGATAAAGCTGTGGGAGTGTTCAGTGAGGCGGCATTGAGGAAGTTGTCAGAGATGAAGAAGGTGAGGAACCAAGGAGACAGCTTAATATGTGTATGGGTTTTGAGGTCACCTTGTGTAATATGAGCATTAAGAAGAAAACTTTGAGCCAGCTGACAAAGGTTCATTGTTACTAGATGATTGGTGTAAGGAAGGAGAACATGTGATAATATCTAGATTTTTATAAGACAGCTAGATAATGGTCTAAAAATAGTATTGAGGAGGAAGGAGGCTGTCCATCCCATCTCTACCCTAAAGTACATAGTGTATGACAGAAACATAAGTCTCTATTTAAGAGAGTTGTCACAGAAGAAGTAGCATTCTCATAGGATAGGCAGGTTTTTATTTAAGACAAAGAAGTATGGGTAACATTTGGAGAAAAATCTAGAGATTTTGTAGAGAATTCTGAAGATGTTGGATTATGTACATTAATTCATGTGTCCTATATCTTACTGAAATACAAACATGATAGGTAATAAACAAAAAACATAAAGAGAAAGTATATAGAGGAAGATATGTTGTTATCAACAAATAAGAGATTTCAACACATTTTTGGGATATTGAAAGAGGACAATAGTGGTTAATGGATAAAGCAACATAAAGGAAACTGGAGCCCAAAATTTGTTTGAAAAGTTCAAGTGGGAGCCAGTCTGCCCATTCGAAGCCTGTTGAGACTTCAGTCTCAGAACATACATGTGTTCACAGAGTACATGAATAAGAAGGAAAGTTGAAAATAATAAATTGAAAGTCTGTAATCAAACAATTATGTCAGCAGGTGCTGATCCTTGCACTATAAAATATAAGTAGTTTCTCATTTATGTACCGGAAGAAAATGAGTGTGCTCTGTTTTAGGGAAGTTGAATGAATTATAAAGAGAAAATTAAGTTCTCCATGATATGATTGTCCTGGAGTTCTAACATTTCAGTAATAAATGCAGAGTATATGTGAAAGATAAGGGGCCTAAAGCTTGACAATAGGCAAGCTAGGGACTCATCCTGCTCAGAAAACTCCAACTGAAATGATCTACTTACAAATAGTAGCAAAAGAAAGCCAAATCATCTGCCAGGTCTTATATTTTTAAATATGAGCAGCATTACTCACTCTTGGGGAAAATGTGCTTCTTAGAGTCAAGATCTAAGATAATATATAATGTCAAGCATATTAGTGGTATAAAAAAGAGAATATAAAAAGAGCAGAAAACAATAATTTTGATAATAGACAAGCATTTAAAAATACCTCTTACATTAGGCAGTTACTTGGGAAGAATAAATTATTATATTTATAAAACAAGAATAGGATGCTATAAAAAAGCATTCAAAGACCAGAAATAGTTTCAGTATAACTACTACATGTAGTACAATAATTACTGTATTATTTATCAATTGTCATGTGATAAATTACACCAAAACTTAAGGGTTTAATGCCGAAAGCATTATCTCACATTTTATTGGTAGACAGGGAACTCGAGTAGCTTAGCTGGATGTTTCTGGCTTTAGATCTCTCATAAGGTTACAGTTAAGATGTCATTTGAAAGCTTAGCTGAGGTCAGGAGACTGGCTTCCATACTCACACTGGTGGCTGGTGGCAGAAAGATCTTAGGTCCTTGCTGGAAGCCTCAGTTCCTTACTACATGGGCTTTTCCATAGAACTGCTTTAGTGCTCCATGACATGGTAGCTGACTTCCCCCAGGATCACCCTGGGGATCCAAAGACAGAGCAAGAAAGGAGCTCCAATGTCTTTTATAACTTCAGTTTTTGTAGGTGCATACTGTCATTTCAGCAAGTTAAAAGCAAGTCATTAAATGTAGTCTGCTCTCAAGGATAAGAATTAGGCTATAACCCTGAAGAGATAAGTATCAAAGAATTCGTGGACATATTTTCAAACTGCTATAACTGCTAATATTTAAAGAAACAAATAGTCCCTAGAGATATAATCAAGGATATATTTCAGAATGTGTATTATAAATATCAAGAGATAGAAATTAAAGAGACAAGAATTATAGAGAAGCACTGCAAAGGTCATCTTCACAAAACATCAATAGAGGAAAATGAGAAGAGGCAGTTAGAGAAATGACAGAAGAAATCTTCCCAGAGTTGAAAGAGAATACACATTTTCATATAGAAAGAGCTCACTTGGAACCAACTACAGTGAATACTAATAAAAATAAGAGATCCGTACTTAAAATGTCTTTGGAAATTTCAGTGTACCAAAGATAAAAAGAAAAATCTTTCAAGACAAAATGGGGGTTATGCTGCATCACATTTCTCATTATAACACTAGGAATTTGACTACAAAGAACAATGCCTTCAACTTTCTGAAAGAAAATGATAATGAACTTAAAATTCTGTATTCATTCAGACTTATCATAAAATATGAAGAAAGATATAAAGAGATTTTCAGGTATGCCAGGATTAAAAGTCTAACTTAAATGTAGCTTTTTCTTGAAAATTATTTGAAGGTACCACTTCAGCAAAATGAGAAAAGCATTAAGAAAGAAAATGTCATGAGATCAGGAAAAAGTGGAAACAACTTAGGAAAGTGATGAAGAGCAGTTCTAGGATGGTAATTGTGTCACAGGCCAAGGGAGCATCTGTTTCAGATTGGAATGCAAGAACACAAAGGACAATAAGCAAGAGAAGGATTTTAAGCATACTGTCGTATGATGTAGCTGATGAAAAAATTTGAGACTTGATGAAACTATATTACTTTGACAGTAATGATAGAAAAGCATTAAGAAAAACAGTTGTTCAGAAGGTTAAGTCATGATTTTAAACTTGAAGCAAAATTAAAAGTGGCATAATTTTAAAGTAGTTAATGGGGTATAAGACTTTAATAAAATAAAATTTTATTTCAGGTGACCCAGGAATTTTGCATTATTGGGCCAATAGAAAAGAAAATATAATCCTAACTAGCATACCTATTAACCTGACAGAAATAATAGTTATGTGTATGTTGTATATTGTATATGATAATATGTATATAATGACCTAATAATGTAAGCACTTTACTAGTCTTTAGACTTTTAGAATCAACTTTTTAGGCAAAGCATAGAATATTTAGTTGTGGCTGCAGATCAGAATAGAAATGTTAAAAAAAGTTATATTGTAGTTGAAAGAAATGAAGGTAGAAGAAAGAAATATAAGTAGAAAGAAGGATATGTACACCAATACCTAATCTGATGTAGAAGATAGTTAAGATATTAACTTCTTGATGTAACAAAAATATAGATATAATTATATTGTTCAAACTTAGTTAAAAACCAATAACCCAACTAGTAATAATAATTAAATATTGGGAATAAATGGGAAAAATGAAGGTAGGAAGCATAAATGAGCAATATCTTCAGAGGAGGAAGAAATAGATATTACTTAAAGATAATAAATTAGGAAATAGAAATATGAAGTTACTATTGGTTGTTGGATCACCATACTATCTAAAATTTGAAAGAGAAAGATTGGGAATAGAAAAACACAGTAAGAGAATGTGGTTTTCTGAGTTGTTGCCATGTTCTATGTTGACTTTTAAAAGCTATTAAAATTGATTTTCCTGTTTATTTTTAGTATATTTAAAATTTTTATAGACTTGAATTTTGGTTCTAGCTAACCCACAATTGTTTAAATATGAATGTGACTATGGATTTGGTTGAAGTCTTTGGGACTAATATTTTTTGTAATCATCTTAATATTAAGTATTAATATGAATTCAGTGTGTGACATTTGTCTTTGCAGGATCAAAGCAAGTTGGAGAAACATCATTATCTGGAGACTCCTTGGATGGCACACCTCGTACTTCTAATATCATCTTTGATTTCCTGCTTCCTCCATTAGATCAGGTGCAAGAGGAGGAATGGGAAATAGAAAGGTAATTCAGTGATCATTTAGGTGTAAGTTTAGGACATTGCTTAAAATTTTTTGATTGTATAGTATCCCTATATTTTGCAGAATTTTTACCACATATGATTTTTGGGGAAGGAAGTAGAACTTATGTTGGTAGTGTATATATTAGGTAGGTACTGAATGTTTTTTAGTATATTAATACTAAAGTATATTTAGTAAATATACTAAGTATATTTAGTATATTAATCTTATAATATCCAGTAGAATTATTTATCAGCCACTCATTTAACCCAGTTTTGAGTATCTTTAGCAAAAATTTTTTGATTACATTTTGTTTTTATGTTAATTATTTTCTATTGTTTTAGGATACCTGAACATGGGACACCAAAGCCCTTTCGAAAGTGAGTAACCCTGAAGTAGCTTTTATTTAAAGGCTTATTTTTTCATTGATTTTGAGAGAGAGAGAGAGAGAGAGAGAAACACCAGCATCTTACTCCACTTACTCATGCATTCATTGCTTGCTTCTAGTCTGTCTCCTGACTGCAGATCAAACCTGCAACCTTGGTATATTGGGACTGTGCTCTAACCAACTGAGCTACCTGGCCAGGGCTAATGGAGACATAATTTAAGAACTACATATTTTCCCCCTGACATTCTTTTTTAAAGGAAAAAAGGCTCAGGACTTCTTGTCAAGATGGTAGAGTAGGTAAACACTGTGCTTACCTCCTCCCATGACCACATCAAATTACAACTAAATTATAGAACACATCATTGAGAACCATCTGAAGACTAGCTGAACTTAGAGATATTATAACTAAAAATATAAAGAAGCCATGTCAAGAGTGATAGGAGGAGTAGAGATGCAAAATGTGCAGGTTTCACACCCATGTGGGGTGATTAAGAATCCGAATGGTTATCTCAGCTATAGAGCTCTCCCCTAAGGAATGAGGGATCCCAGCACCACTTTGGGCTTCCTTGACAGGAGTCCCCATAATATCTGGCTGTGAAAACCTGTGGGAATTGCATCTGAGTGAGGCAGAGGGCTGCTGGAGTCCTAGGCATTCCTCTTGAGAGGCCTATGGGCTGACTTCCTCACGAATTCCCTCCCTCTAGGCACCAGCACAGGAATAGCAAGGACATGCAAACAGGAACTGCATAGAGTAGCTTAGGGGTAAGAAGGGCAAAGGTCAGAAAATGCCCTCTGGGGACCAAAGTGCTGGTAGGCACTACTTTTGTTACTTTGTTGACCCCTCCCACCACCTATCTGGCAGGCTCAGGTTGACTCCAAATCTGTGCTCTCCATTAACCTGGCTAACACTCTTGATTGACTCAGACACCAACACACCTTGAGCCACTTCCAGTGGCTGTTCCACACAAGCAGTCTGTGTTAGCTCATGCTGTGGATATTCCTAAAATATCTCAAGAGTCTTCAAATTCAAACAATCAGGGGCTGGCCATGGCATGTCCTATACCACTTGTTAAGACTCCCCAAGTGCAGTACAACTAACAATCTGTCTCATCTTGCATTGTAACTCCCATCAGATAGCCACAAGCTTGGCATAAGCTGTGTCCAGAGTTGGCTTGGAAAATAGCTTCACTAAGTAACCATAAGCCTAGCACAAGTGGCCACTAGCATAGGCGCACATCAAGGTGACCACCAAAAGGTCTGAAACCTGGCACTATTTTTCTTTAATTTACTTACATGAATTTAATAGTAGTTACATGAAATTCAGTGAACATTATTTATTTACATTGTTTAATTACACAAGGAAAAACTGAAAATTAAGTTTACAATATCAATATGAAATAAAGGATTTTAAATTATTAACAAAATCAAATCTGATTTATTTTCAGATCTACTAAAAAATATTAAATTTTTCAATCATCCTAGTATCTGAAATGCTGTTTATTATTTAAGAAATTTCTTTTGTTGACACCATTATAGGTGTCCCTCACTTTTTTCCCCTTTGCCCATCTCCACCCAGCAGCAGCCACCTTCTACTGGTCTTCACCACACTATTGTCTGTGTCCATGGGCCATGTATATATATTCTTTAATCTCTTCACCTTTTTTTTTATCCAGTCCTCCCCACTTCTCCCCTCTAACATTTGTCAGTCTATTCCATGTATCTGTGCCTCTGGTTCTGTTTTGTTGGTTAGTTCATTAGATTCCACATATTAGTGAGATCATATGGCATTTGTCTTTCTCTGAATGGCTTGTTTTGCTTATCATGCTAATCTTCAGATCCATTTATGCTGTTGCAAAGGGTAAGAGTTCCTTCTCTTATACAGCTGCATAGTATTCCATTGTGGAAATGTACCACATCTTTTTTTCCACTGATCTATTGATGGCCATTTGGGCTATTTTCAGATCTTGGCTATTGTAAATAACATTGCTATGAACATTGAGGTGTATATATTCTACTGAATTGGTGTTTCAGGATTCTTAAGATATATTCCAGAAGTAGGATCGCTAGGTCAAAAGGCAGTTTCATTTTTAATTTTTGAGAGGAAACACCATACCAATTTTTACAGTAGCTGCCCAGTCTGCATTTCTACCAGCAGTGTACTAGCATTCCCTTTTCTTCACATACTTGCCAGCACTTGTTGTTTGTCGATTTATTGATAGTAGTCATTCTGCAGGTATGAGGTGATACCTCACTGTAGTTGTGATTTGCATCTCTCTCATGATGAATGACGTTGAGCATTTTTAATATGTCCTTTGGCCATCTGTATGTTCTCTTTGGAGAAGGGTCTATTTGGGTGGGTCCTTTGCTTATTTTTTGATTGGATTGTTTGTCTTCTGATGTTGAGGTGTGTGAGTTCTTTATATATTTTAGATTTTAACCCCTTACCAGATGTATCGTTGGTGAATATGTCCTCCCATACAGCGTGTTCCCTTTTCATTTTGTTGATGGTTTCTTTAGCTGTACATAAGCTTTTTAACTTGATACAGTCTCATGTGTTTATTTTTTTCCTTTGTTTCCCTTGCCCTAAGAGACATATTGGCAAAAATAATGCTCTGGGAGATGTCAGAGATTGTACTGTCTGTTTTTTTCTTTTAGGATTTTTTATGGTTTTGCAGCTTATATTTAAGTCTTTTATAAATTTGAATTTATTCTTGTTATGGTGTAAGTTGGTGGTCTAGTTGCATTTTTTTGCAAGTACCTGGCCAATTTTCCCAATACCATTTATTGAAGACATTGTTTTTACGCCATTGTATGCTCTTGCCTCCTTTGTCAAATATTAATTGACCATAAAGGTGTGGGTTGATTTCTGGGCTCTCTGTTTTGTTCTGTTGATCTATTCACCTGTTCTTGTGCCAGTACCAGGCTGTTTTGATTACATTGGCTTTGTAGTGTAGTTTGATATTCTGATCTCTCCAACTTTGTTCATCTTTCTCAAGATTACTGATGTTATTTGGGGTCTTTTTGGTTCCATATAAATTCTTGAAATATTTATTTAGAACTGTGAAATTGGTATTGGTATGCCATTGGTATTTTAATAGGAGTTGCATTGAATCTATAGATTACTTTGGCAAATATGGACATTTTAATGATATTAATTCTTCCAATCCATGGGCAGCACACACTATATGCTTCTACTTGTTATATCTTCTGCTATTTCTTCCTTTAATGTCCTATAGTTTTCTGAGTACAGGTGTTTTATTTCCTTAGTTGAGTGTATTCCTAAGTTACCTTTATTTCTTGTTGCTATTGTCACAATACTAAATGGGATAATTTTCTTAGTTTCTCTTTCATAGAATTCATTATTGGTGTGTAAAAAAGCCACTGATTTCTAGATACTGATTTCATATCCTGCTAATTTGCTGAATTCATTTATTAGACCTAATGGTTTTGTGGTGGAGCCTTTAGGGTTTTCTGGGTGCGCTATCATGTCATTTGTGAATAACGACAGTTTTACTTCCTCCTTTCCAATTTGAATGTTTTTTATTTCTTCTTGTCTGATCATTGTGAAAGTAGACATCCTTCTCTTGTTCCTGATCTTAAGACAAACACTTTCAGATTTTGGCCATTTATTATGATGTTGCCTGTAGGCTTGTCATATATGGCCTTCATTATGTTGAGGTATGATCCCTCTATTTTGTCAGATGTAAGTATTGCTATTCTGAGGCTGGTTTGTTGAGAGATTTTTATCATAAATGGGTGTTGGATTTTGTTGGATGTTTTTCTGCATCTGTGATATGATCATGTGATTTTTATTTTTAATTTTGTTTGTGATGTGTCATATTTATTGATTTGCATATTTTGTACCAATTTTGTACCCCCAGAATAAATCCCACTTGATCATGGTGTGTGATCTTCTTAATGTATTGCTGGATCTGGTTTTCTAATACTTTGTTGAGGATTTCAGCATCTGTGTTCATCAGGGCTATTGGCCTATAATTTTCTTCTTTGTTGTATCTTTATCTGGTTTTGGAATTAGAATAATGCTGACCTCATAAAAAAAGCTTGGAAGTCTTTCCTACTCATGAATTTTTTTTTTAATAGTTTGAGGAGGATTGGTATTAGTTCCTTTTTGAATGTTTGGTAAATTCTCCTATGAAGCCATCAGCCCAGGACATTTGTTTGCTGGGAGTTTTTTGATTAACACTTCAACTTCACTAGCAGTTATTGGTGTGTTCAGGTTTTCTGATTCGTTCTGATTGAGTTTGGAAGGTTGTTATGTTTCTAAGAATTTGTCCATTTCTCTCAGGTTGCCCAATTTGATGGCATCTAGCTGTTCACACAACATTTTCTCTAGTCTTTTATATTTCTTTGATATCAGTTTTTACTTCTCTTTTATTTCTGATTTTATTTGAGTCCTCTCTTTGTTTCTTGATGAGTGTAGCTAAAGGTTCATTAATCTTGTTTATCTTTATAAAGAACCAACTCTTGCTTTCATGTACCTTTTATTTAGACTCTATCATTTATTTCTGCTCTGATCTTTATTATTTCCTTCCTTTTGCTTACTCTATGCTTTTCTTTTTTTTTTTCTTTTTTTTTGTAGTTCATATAGGTATAGGGCTAGATTGCTTATTTGAGTTTTTTCTTGCTTCTGGAGGTAGGCTTGTAAATGCTATAAACTTCTTCAGAATTGTTTTCACTGTGTCCCATAGATTTTGGGGTTTTGTGTGTTAATTTTCATTTGTTTCCAGGTAATACTTTATTTTTTCCTTTACATCATTAGTAACCATTCATTGTTTAATAACATGCTATTTAGCCTTTATGTGTTTGAGTATTTGTCAGTTTTTTAAATTATAGATGATTTCTGGTTTCATGCAATTGTGATCTGAGAAGGTGCTTGATATTTCATTCTTCTGGAATTTTTTAAGACTTATTCTGTGTCCTACCATGTGGTCTGTTTTTGAGAATGTTTTATGTGCACTTGAGAAGAATGTA